GGTCTGATTAGTGCATATTCCCCAATCCAGGGAACCCCCCCTTCCCCCAGCCCCCCTTCCTGCCACAGCTGTCCCTCTCCTGACCCTGCCTAAAAGCCCCCCCCAGCCCTCACAACCTAAAAGAAACTTCTGACAGTGGCAAGGGCCCCTCCATAGAGGCTCAAAGCCTTCCCTTACCTGGCTTCCCCCTACACCCACACCTGCCTTCTTACTCTGGACTGAGCTGGGTGGATATAAGGTCCATTGAACCTGCCAGAACTTTGTGTGGAAGGGGAGGCTCCCAATCCCCCAAGCCAGGACCCTTGGGCCAGTCTACCATGCTAAAAAGCCAGCTAAGTCTACACAGCTCAGTGGGTAGCTGAGAACTTACAGATGTTCACAGGGCCCATTCCATCTCCAGACAACCTGGAAGAAGAGGACAAGTCTAAAAGGCGGCTTCTTACCTCAGGGTGGAGCTAGCACTGCTAGGCACCAGCCTCCAGACCCTACCAGAATCTCCATCCTTTCCTTCTTATTCCCAGCTTGTCTTTAGCCTTGTTTCAAATGGCTGAGGAGTATGAGTGGGAAGTCCCACTGAGACCCCTCGTCCAACTGTCTACACGACCTGCATCAAAGTTCCAGAGCTTTTGAGTCCCACCTCTAAACTGGGCCTACCTCCAGAACCAAGATGACAGGTTTGTTTGTGATGATTGCTGCATGCAATTTCCCTACAAGCCCCATTAACACCTAGGGCTTAAGAAATGGTTACCATGCTTATTATTTGTGAGCAGGCCTGCCCTTCCTCATCAGAAGTTCTCAAAATGGGATGTTGCCTTTGGACTCCTGTTTCCGGCCCCTAGCATGAGGCCTGGAACTAGCAATTACTTAACAGGTGCTAAAATAATTACTGAATTGTTGACTGATTGACTTTAGCTCCAGCCAGGACTTCGAGGGTGGGGGAAGGTGGGTGGCTTTCAGCACCCATGGGCCTGAAACAGGTCTTGCAGTGGAAATTAAAAATCTGAGACAGCTGGGTGTGTTTGTTTGGTGACTCATAGTCCCATTGTCACCAAGCTCTTGGCCTTGGGGTTCGGTTTGCTTGGCAGGGGAGATAGACACCTTACTTTGATGGGGGAGGAACAACGAGGATCTGCTGGCCTCAGCAGCCTCAAACTGAAGGAAAAAAAGAGTCCGGTTTTCAGGATGCTTCCAGGATGCTGGATCAAATGGTGGGAACTTCTAGAAGTTGGAGCAGTCAAGGGCAGGGTGCCACCAAGCAGCAATTCCATGTCTTGGGACTCACTGGGAACAGACCTGATGTCCAAATTATACTGACCCATTTAATTCTTCCTTAATTCTAAGTACATATTGACCTTGTGACTATATTTGCAACATTGTATCTCAAAGACTACAAACTCAAAACAATTATGAAGGTTTCAGAGCCACAGTTCCTGATATGCCCAGAAAGAGCTCAGGGAGTTAAAAGACTTGAAACAGAAAGAATCAGGGTGCGGTGCTGCTAGGAAGGTACAGAGAGGCCTCTTAGATGGGGCTGCCTGTGTGTCAGCCCATGTGACAGCCTGTGGGATAGCCTGTGGGATAGCCTGTGTGACAGCCTGTGTGACAGCCTGTGTGACAGCCTGTGGGACAGCCTGTGGGACAGCCTGTGGGACAGCCTGTGTGATTGCCTGTGTGACTGCTTGTCTTCCAGATGCCTCCAATGTTCAGTTCCAATTCTCACAAAGAAGCCAGGGAGGTAAATAAAAGTACATACAAATAAGGTAATAAATGTTACTAAATAGGGTACACAGGCCCTCGTCTACCTCTGGCCTACATTCTCCACCATGTTTCTCCCCCTCTTCCTACCACCTAGACTTTCTGCCCCAAAACACCCCCACTCCTGCCCAACACATCCCTACCTACACACACACACACACACACACACACACACACAGAGAGAGAGAGAGAGAGAGAGAGAGAGAGAGAGAGAGAGAGAGGTTCTCCAATAAACTTAGCATTTGAAAAGTGCAAGTCCAGGATGAGGGCTCTGCAGGTAAGGGAGCTTGCCACCAAGTCTGACAACCTGAATCCAATCACATGGTGGAAGGAGAGAACCTACTCCCAAGAGCTCTCCTCTGATCACCACACACACACTGTGGCATATATGTATACTCTCTCTCTCTCTCTCTCTCTCTCTCTCTCTCTCTCTCTCTCTCTTCTCTCTCTGTGTGTGTGTGTGTATGTGTGTGTGTGTTTAGTTTCTTTTTTAAGTGCAAATAAATAAATGTAAAAAAAAAGTAAAGATTCCCGATTTCTGAACTTTCCTTTTGCAGGTGTTCATCTCCATGGTAAATGCACTTCCTCCCTGAGGGCAGAAAATGGCTTAAATATTAGCTGACTCTATGCCGGGTTCTAACAAATGAAGACTAACAAGTCTACTCCAGTGCTTTTGCCAACATGGTTGCTTCCCTCACCTCTCCAAACCCTAAACTTCCCCAGGGTACAGCTTTGTATGTCCGCATCAGCCCCTGCAGCCATGAAGAACAAAGCCAACCTCAGATGGAGGTGCTCTATCCTTCAGGAAGCCAGCCTGGCCCCTGCCAGCCTTATGCATACAGCTCTGGGGACAGAGGAAATCCAGCCGGCACATTGAGTGTTACATGGGTAGCCCAGTTAGCCATGAAAAGCGGTCTCACCAGCAGTCAGCAGGCATGGGCTGCACACTAGCCTGTCCCTCAGTTAACTGAACCACAGCTTGTCCCTCTGGAAGTGATGCTTGATGCTCATGACCTGCCTCCCTGAAAACAAGCTGAGGATCAGTTAGAGAGCCCTGCTGGGAGCTGGAGAATGACTGGGTGAGTAAGAGCACTTGCTGAACAAGCATGGAGACCTGCATCTGAATCCTAGAACCCAAATAAAAAGCCAGGTGTGGCCTCACACATGTCTGTAACCCCGGTGCTATGGGGAGCAGGCAGGAGACAGGATGATCATGGAGCAGGACACTGACATCCTCCTCTGACCTCCAAGCATCAGCTTGAATGTGGGAACCTGTGCACACATGTGTGCATACACCATGCCAAGAAATAAATGATTTTTAATAGACCTGCTAATGGCCCTGCTTAGGAAGGGACTTGCCACATGGCCTTACCATCTAGAAGGACATTTTCTAAAAGGTTAAGCAGCAATCATAAACTTTGTGCACCCTGTCCCTCCCACCCTATGCCCTGCAAAGAAGGGACACCTAGGAGATGCCTGTAAGTGTATCAACAAAAAGTCCAGACCTCATTCATCTCCAGGACCCCCTGCCAGCCTGCATCTCTCACCTACTCTCCTCGCCCTCCAGCAGCTTGCGGTAGGTGGCGATCTCAATGTCCAGTGCCAGCTTGGTGTTCATGAGCTCCTGGGACTCACAA